CTAGCTGATGAGATTTATAAATGTGGATGCCTGTCACTGTCGCTCATGCACCATCACAGCTGAAGAAGACTCCACTCTGTGAATGGACACTGTGTGTGTGTGTGTGTGTATGTATTTACATGGACACACATGGCCAGGATCCATGGGCTGGTGTATACCTAGGAATGGACTTGCTGGATTACAGGCTGTGTTTCAACTCTGTGGGACAAATAGTTGTTGGTGGGAGTGAGGAGGGCTCATTGCTCCTTATCTCCAAACTGGAAAAAAATTAAAATCCTAATATTCAATCTCATGGTACAAAAAGGAGCCTTTTGAGGACTTAATCTATATTTTCCTGACCAGCAATGGCTGAGCACCTTCCTGATCATTCTTCAGTTGCCTTTCCATTTTTGGCCTATTTTTCTACTGGATTGTACATTGTTTCCATAATTGATTAATGTGACTTCTTTAAATTGGCAGATACTACTCATGTGTCAGTGTAAGTTGAAAAAACTCCCTACCTGTGGCTTTTTTTTTTTAACTTTCTCTTTTGTATCTTTTGAGAAAAACAATTCTAAATGGAGTTGGAGTTATAATATAAAAAAAATGGTTGTGTGTTATGTCTTGTTAAAGAAATACCTCTGAGGATGCCAAGAGGAAAGCTTCTCACAGATAGTTCCACTTCCTTTGTTTCTGCCTTTATCTTTCTGTGGCACCTCCTTTAATCACAACTTTCAGGCCTCTTAATATTATCTTCAATTCTTACTGACTTTCTTTTTATTACTTAATTTTTCCTTTCAAGAAATCTTATTTGGTTCTTTCCAGGCTGCCTAGTCTTTTTTGACGCCTTCTTGTTCCTTCTTTTGATTATTTTTTACATTTTACATATACATATTTTATACTTTGTATTTGATGATTTCAACAGTTGGGGTCTTTGCAGACCTGGTTTTGCTATTTTGGGGTACCCTCGCATAAAGTGCCTTGATTTCTGATAGTTTGTGTTTTGATTATGAACGCCCACCTGTTGGAACTTTAAGAGTATAAACTCTTGAGGCCTGGGTCCATGTTCAATGCAAGCTTCTCTGCTCCGTAGTCACGTTAGGGGACATTGCCCCTGGATCATTAGGGCTACAGGGAGGCTCCAGTTAATAAAGAGAATTCAGAATCAAGTCCTTCTACTGATGCTTCCTCCTGAAGCTTGAAATGAAACGCTTAGCTTGGGTACTTTTAGATGCAGCAGTTCCTCTGACGTCTTACGGGTGGTATGTGACCACAAATCTCAGGGGAGAACTTGAAGATACTCTGTTTTATGTGGGCATCACCAATTTGGCCTCCTCACTTTATGTCAGCCCCATACCTTGTCTTCTTTATTCCATAATCCGTCAGAACCAAATCTCTTAGTTACTAAGGTCAGAGCTTCCCTAAAGGAGAGATGTCTACAGGTGAGATCCCCACAGGTGAGTTGTTCTGCTTCAGTGCTTGCGTTCCTCTCTAGGTTCTGGTTCCCATAAAAATATTTAACTTGGATGTTCATCATCACTCATAATAAGGGAGATGCAAATTAAAACCACAATGAGATACCACCTCACCCCAGTGAGAGTGGCACATCTTAAAACAACTAGCAACAACAAATGTTGGCAAGGATGTGGAGAAAAAGGAACTCTCCTGCACCTGGTGGGAATGCAAACTAGTACAACCACTATGGAAAACTGTTTGGATGTTCCTCAAACTGCTAAACATGGAGCTTCCCTACGACCCAGCAATTCCACTCCTAGGTGTCTACCCAAAAGACACAAAAACACTGATTCAAAAAGATACCTGTACCCCCATGTTTATTGCTGCTTTATTTACAATTGGAAAAACATGGAAGCAGCCCAAATGCCCACAAGTGGGATTAAAAAGATGTGGTACATATATACAATGAAATATTACTCAGCAACCAAAAAAAAAGAAACACATGTCTTTTGCAGCAACTTGGATGGAGCTGGAAAAGATCATGCTTAGTGAGATAAGCCAGAAAGAGAAAGAAAAATACCGGATGGTTTCACTCATAGCAGGAGTATAATGGACCAGGCAAGAAAATAACAAAAATAATGAACAACCATATACCAGAGACATTTTGTGGGGGTGGAGTGGGGAATGGGATCAAAAACCTGGGGGTGGGGAGGGTAGTGCACAGGATTATGGTGATGGCACACGGGTGACTTGGTGATGGGAAACCTGCGGGGATTACAATTGAGATGGGAAAAAAAAAGTACAAAATGATGTAAAAATAAATATTATATTATAAAGAAAAAAATATTTAACTTGGAAGATTTCCCTTTCTTGAAGGTTAGTTAGGCATATAAAATGATGTTTTCATATCTTGCTTTATATTTTTAGATGCTTTACAGTGGAATGGTTTGCCAAGATATATAGTTAGTTTTTTTCAGAATTAGAAGCCTTTGTTGTTTCAAAAACTGTGTACACACACACACACACTCACACTTATATCAGCAGTTGTTTGAGGGCTTCTTAAGGGCAGAGAAATGAGTTGTTACCAGGTCACATCTATACATTTTAACAGCTACTCACTGGCCAAAGCCTACCACTTTGCATTATTTGCTTTAAACATATAACTCAAAGTCACAAAGGTGTTAAGTTTCCAGAATAGTCCTAAGTCTAATATAGAATCCCTCTGAATGTGGTAGATGCAGTCATTTGTTGAGTACAACATAAGTATTTAGAAAGCAGGCAAGTCAATTCACAATTAGGGAGTATACCTTTGTAGGGAAAAGGTCCACTCTGTAGCTATTTGATTATGTGTTTTGCTTACCGGTGTCCACTTCTGTCCTTTTTCTAAGACCATGAAATGTGTGTTGTCGCCTAAGGTCTGAAAGAACTCTTCTGTGTCCACCACGGTGCCATCCTCCTCCAGCACCAAAGTAACCAGTCTAGTGGTGATAACAAGGGCCTCCAGGGTCTAGATTGGCAATACAAGTAGAGACATGAGATGAAGCAAGAGATTCCATTTTGACTCGTCAATGACATAGATTAAGTTATAGTTTGTAAAGTTCAGTGATTTTGATAAAACTTTATAAGATATACCTTCATTCGTTTCTATGACCCAGTCTTTGCTTGAAAAGGTGACTCTAAGATCTTAAATAAGTTTAACTTCTTCAGGGATTTCAATGATGTCATAAGCAAGTATGCTGAATAATTTTTCAAATCACCTCCTTATTCCAACAAGTAAGCATAATCATGCAGTACAATATTTAGAGAGCTAGAGTGGGTCTGGCATGCATGTACATCTCTCCCTCTTCGCAGACTGCATATCGGAAGCTCAATTCTCAATTCCATGTGAGTCCTTGGCTCAAACCTCCATGAGACTCTAGTGTTTGCCATTTTAGATGAAGGTGCATTCTTCCCTGGCTTTAATAATTAAAAACAGATTTCCAAAATCCACTGCTTGCCTTTATTTTCCCTTGTGAAAGAAATAAAGCTACAGTATCAATTGATGACTCATTTCAAGGTTTTTGTCTACACCTAAATTTTTAGTTAGGATAAAGGTGCAACTAGGTTTCCTTTCATTCTTTCATGCTCCTTTTAACCACT